GTCATGCAAGGTCAAATGTGGTAGCAAAATAAAATTTCTTACATTACAAGAGATGCTCGAAATGGTGACTGTTTGCGTCAATGCAAAGTTGCAATCTTCGTATCGCTGCATCACGTGCATGTCTTATCGTCTCTGAACTTATTCTAGCACATGCTGCAATTATCCGTTGTTTCATATTTTCTGGTGTAGTGGGTACTTCTTGATAAACAGCATTTTTCAATGCTCCCCAGAGAAAATAATCTAATGGGGTTAAATCTGTAGAACGAGGTGGCCAAGAAACTAATCCTCCACGTCCTATCCATTTATTTTGGTAAAGTTCGTTCAGTACATCTCTTACTCTCCGAGCATAATGTGCTGGACACCCGTCGTGCTGTAACCACATCATTTTGGCGAATGTTTAGTGGTACATTTTCTAATAAAGTCCCCCATGAAATAATACAGCTTGTGCTAGAGTAAGTTCAGAAACGATAAGACATGCATGTGATGCAGCGATACAAAGGTTGCAACTTTGCATTCACGCAAACGGTCACCACTTCGAGCGTCTCCTGTAATGTAAGAACATTCATTTTACTACCACATTTGACCTGGCATGACCTTCAATGATAGCTCACTGAAGTCGTCTCAACGCCGGCTATCACATTGCGATAAAAAAAACATAGCATTCCGTTAAAAAAAATAGAGATGACCTTGAAATCTCCTCTATGCCTTCACCCACGCAGAAAATGTTTGTGTCGCACTATGCCCCCCTCTATACCGTGTAAGTTTTGTATATAACATTTTTTCATATTATTACAAATAACGGCAATATTCAAAGTGGACATAGTTATTGCCCCACCCTGTATATCTAAAGTAACGAGTCGATAGTTATGAGTGTGTCGACACATCACAGTCATAAAGAGACTGCGGATGTTATATGCATTTGTAGCAAATTTTTACATGCAAAATGTAGTAAAATAAAAATTTTAATAAAAGTTAATGGTACTTATACAAAACCGCGGATAACATTTTTGCTTAGGAAAAATTTGTTCCAAATCACCTCACTAGTGACCCATTTCAGGGACCTACAACATTTTTGTTACACCCGTATACTACTATCAGTATAATAAGTGATTTAGTACAGGAAATACATTTCTACCTAGTTTTTATATTTATAAATTAATGTTTAAAATTCTGAACTTGCATAAACATCCGCAGTCTAGTCATAAACAAACATACAAATCTAGGTACGCAAATATCTTATTTCCAAAATACTACTACTAATAACACACCAACAGACATAAAAACGCTTTCGCAACCATTACATATTAATCCTGTTGAAAGCTGACTTCAAAAATGCAGTAATCGAGGAATAGAATAATATAACAGCTAGCATTAAATCCAATTTAGTAAATCCAATACATGGAACACTAACTGCAGTTGTACAATCGAAGGGAAACCCTACTAACAATAAGTACTACTAACTGTAGAATCACTTGCTGTTTTCCTAATAAATGTTTAAGTTATTTGAACATTTGATAGCGACTTAATAACTGTACGAATACTTATTCCTTGTTTATTTCTGTTATTTTGTGAATCATATTCATATGTATCTAAATAATGCAAATATTTTTCATCAGTTTATTTGACAATATTTCTGTAAACTTCAAGGAATATGTACAATATATTTGCTTTACAAATACTGTTTTTCAAACTCAATAATACGACGTTTTAGTTGCCATTGTATTGCAAGTACTTTCTACATCCACTGTACAGCGTTTCCATATTTGTTATTAAAGGACGTGTTCGGAATATATTCTTTGAGCAAGAATACACGCTTCATGTATTTCGAATAGTGTGACTCCCTTCTACAATACGGTTGTGAATATTTGCTGACCCTGATCTGACTTTCGAATAAACATGCTGCTTAAGATATTTACAAATAAAGAAATCGAATCAATTGAGATTTTTGACATTTCCTATTATAAGAAACATTGAAACACTGCACTCTGGACATAAATAATTTACAGATCTATGTTTATATAACTTTTTTTCATCACCACGATGAATAGAATACACTCATTACATTTGGCCATTGTTTTAGGAACACCGTGTGCACGTCTGTGCAACTTTTATAGTACATTCTATACTGAATTCGAATAGGTTTTCGTTTTTTTCCTATCAGCCATTTTTCAGCAACGCAACGTTGTAAATTTAAAACATTGTCCGAACGTATGTAACTCAATCTGAAAATAGCCAGCTTGTGTGTGATTGACCTTTCATGTATTCTCAGTTTTCATACGAAACTTTTCCACACCCCCAAAAAAAATGCAGAAAACGAATTTTCAATACAATTTTCAGGTTTAGAATGAACCGAAAATAAATTTGGAAGAATGTTAAACTTGCGAATTTATCTAACATATACAGAATTGTAAATGTATTCATACGGACAATACGTAAAACAGATTGCAATGAAGAGACTCGTGTATCAACCAAGTCCTATTCAATTGCACGCGTATTCAGCAAATTTTCAAATTCGATTTTCTCGAAAACAAAGCAATATGCGAAAAAATGTTATTACACATTTTTGACGTATTTTTGCATGTAAAATCACATACTTTCATGTTGTACCACCATTTGGGAAACACCCTGTATATTTTTCTCATAAACTAAAACATACTGTCGATTGAATACGATTCTTAAACCATTTAATGGAGGGTGTTGAGCGGTGCATCTGTATAGCACAATACAGGATAACGAAATCGAAGGCGCAATTTCTGACAGGTCTACTTTGGTAACAAAACAATAGGTACACGGACCGATTGTACGTTAGAGTGACTTCACCAACGGATAGCAGTCATAACCTGGGATTATTAAAACACTTGACAAACTCATCATCGCCCAAATTCTTAACTGTTCTAACAAAATTTAAAAAAAAAATTAGTTAATCAATCTTCGTGCGTCTCATTTATCCAAAGAATACAAACTCACCAGAAGATAAAGTAATTTCAACCTAGAAAGCAACAAATATTCTTTTGAGTTCTAACTCCGAAACTTTGAAAGTTTTTTTTTCTTAATGGTTATATCTCCAAATATTAACAACAACTAAAAATTTATGTAATAAATAGCTATTCAGTGTATGATATTATAGTGTGTTTGATTATTTCACTATCTTCCTATTTCTATAATATTAAACTGCGTACATTTTAAACTCAGTCTTCTCAGCATAGAAACTAGTAGAGATAAAATAATTAAGGACTAGAGCGATAACATTTCCAACTCTTGTCAATAGCCAAAGCATATCGTTGTTTTCGCAGCTAATTTCAAGAAATCCCAGAAATGCTTCAGGAAGGGGAAAAAAGCTCGGACCTTCTCCTTCCACCAACGCAATAAAATTTACTACACCCACATAAACACACCCTCTTTACTACACAACAAAACTAGCCAATGGAAACACACAAAAGTCAATGAAAAACGCAAACATTCACCAGTATTATGTTGCAGAGTCGATTCGCCACAGTTGAAGAAGAAAAGTAATTCAGAGTCAGTTAAAGTCAATTATAATAACTTTTTACTAAAATAGCTTTTTAACAAACAACTAGTGACGGCTGAAAACTTTTAAAGTTACTCAAGCGAGTGACCTTGACAACATATGTCAAGGTCAAGGTCATTAGTGGTGAGTCCCCTAAGCATCAGTTTCACCACACAAGTATAATAACAAAATTAATTAATTAATTTACTTGGAAAACGTGACACATCCGAAGGACTAAATCTAACCGATCGTCACTTTGCCTCTCAACATAGGGGGTATGAATACTTCCTTGTCTCAGTGTACACTGACGTCCAAACTCGGCTTCCGCTAGAGGAAAAGTGGCGTAGGGGAACGGCCTGTTCACTTGGTTTCGGAAGTTGCTAATATTTATGTCAAATTAACATTCGATTTAACCTTTATTTCAGTACTTGAAATAAATTTAACAAGTGGTAGGAGGCCCTTCTCCTACGCCACTTTTTCCTCTAGCAGAAGCCAAGTTTGCTCGTAATTAGCGACACCATTAAAGACACCTCATCGCTCTAGTTCTTAAGTATTCTATCTCCACTAGTTTCTAAACTGAGAAAACTGAGTTTAAAGTATACGAACTTTAATATTATCGAAGCAGGAAAATAGAGAAATAATCAAACACACTATAGTATCATCTACTGAATAGTTACTTATTACTAGATTGCGGATTTTATGCATTTATAATTCATAGGGCTTTGTGAGATACAATAAAAAACAAAACTTTCATCGGATCCATTGATTTTTCTGTTTTAGTCGGAACCCAATACGATACTTAAAAGGAAAAATAAATTTCTACATTTGCTCCTGTCTTTATAAATTACCTTCAAAAATGTTATTTTGCATAAAAATCCGCCGTCTACTTATTACAATATTTAAAAAAATGTTATCTTTTTATCAATCTAAATTCTCATGTTTTTGTCAGTATTTAGAGATACAATCATTAAGAAAAAAAAACTTTTAACGTTTCGGAATTAGGACTTGAAAGAATATTTGTTGTTTTCTCGATTGAATTGTCTTTATATTATGATGATTTTGTGTTCTTTGGACCAATGAGACGCACGTAGATTGGTTAACTAAATTCTTTTGAAAAATTCAGTTAACACAGTTAAGAACTCGGGCAACAATCTGTATTCTCCATCCATAACACTAACAGTTTGTTAACGGTTCGCGCCAATAAAACCGCTAAACGTTTACAGACAACGCCACGCGAGCACAAATTTCTTCGCCTGGGAAGAAGATTTCGCCGCGAAGTTTATAGTTCCCACCCGGATGAACATGTGCATACCCGCGAGAGACCGTGCACAACAACGCTTTTGAAATCCTTTAAGAAGCGTCTATGCGTCGTATGCATTCCGAGATTATTCAACTGGTGCTACCACCCGGTCTGTGCGCGGCGCCCGAAATGCGCAAAACGTCGGCGTCGCACGGCCCAGCCAGCGTTAAAGGAAGAGAAATGAGAGCTCACCTTAAGAGTATCCTGCAGGTTTTGTACTCTACAATGCATATGTACTTGAGCGCCGAGTTGCACGGTAATGTTGCTCTCCGGATCTTCGAAAAAGGGCCTGGGCTCGGGGATGCCGCCGGTTTCTGTCGCGAAACTTTCCACCTCATATACCTGCGAACCGAAGAGAGCATGATACGTGACTGTAATAACTCTTTCTTACGAATATCCGCGCACACCCTGCAGTCTCTGATTCTTAGAAATTTGGAAATGTCTGTGCTTTATATGTCACGTTTGGTTGAAATGTGACAAACTGACGACACTTTGATGGAAAAAGTTCATTTTATTTGCCAGGAAAATGGTCCTTCATTGACACGTAAGTCAGATAAAAAGTGAAATATAGAGAAAAAATCCTATGTCAGACGATAAATGACTTGGATTTGTTTAATATTTCATCGTTCAAATTTTTCCACATTCCTTTTTAAAGAAAAATTGAACCTAAAAATTGTAGAGTATACTATGTATATATTTCTTTGTCTTTATTGATAAATTTTGATCGAAAAATGTGTTGGAAATACATTCCCAAAAATACTAAGGGGATTTAACCCCTTAAATACGAAGGTTGATGAAAAAAACTAAGAATTTTAAATCCATTTCCGAAACCGGGTCGAGACATATTTTAAATTCGTAGTAACTGATTGTACTGACCCTGGCAGAAGATGTTTAATCGAACGAATTTACATGATCCCTGTAGTAATTCATTATTCGCACGGTAAACATAAAAAAGACTGACATACAATGTACATTACAGAAATAAAGTAGAAGAATATGTTAGCAAAAAATAAATATTCTGGTGTTGTAGCTGGATCATTCCACGCGAAATCGGATACCTTTTGGAGCACTATTTCGGATTTTGTTCCAATTTGGATATGTTATAGTCTTTGTCGATATATAAGCGTATCTGGAAGGATTTTTGAAAATTTAAAAAATTGTAGATTTTACAGCTGTTTGAAATTTAGGGTCAACCTTTTTTCAATAAATCATTACTATTGAACTGACAAACTGATCAAAATGAGCTTTGCGAGTACTTACAGTTACGACATCAAAGTATCAAACAAAAATTATTTCAGTTAAAAAAAGATATTTGTAAACCGTTTATTTTCCAATTGTTTTAAATAAATGCTCGGTTTTTATACTGCCGAACTATTCAAAAATTTGAAAAAAAAATGAGGATATAGCCCTATTTGTCCTCTTTATGGGAAAATTTAAAAAAAATGTGGAAATTATAAAATTGGCGATATGAAAATTGATTAAAGTTAACACTGCGTCGAAGCCCATCGACTCGAACGGGCGAGCCGTACCGGCTAGCCTAGTACCACACGCGTTGGTCGGAAAAGCCGGTGTAATTCGATGTAGTGTTCACTTCAATTAATTTTCATACGGCCAATGTTAAAGTGTCTATATTTTTGAAGATACGCCCATAAAGAGGACAAATAAGGCTATATCCTCATTTTTTGCAAATTTTTGAATAGTTCGACAGTATAAAAACAGGGAATTTATTTAAAACAATTGGAAAATAAGTGATTACAAAATGTCTCTTTTTAACTGAAATAATTTTTATTTGGGGTACACTTATGTCTTCACTGTAAGTACCCGCAAAGCTCATTTTGATCAGTTTGTTCCCTACTAGCAATTATTGTTGACATTTTGTTGGGCCTTCGTTGCAGTATTGGTTGGCCAACAGTTAGAATTGTCACCCATTATTGCAAGTGGGCCAACGATCATACCCAACGTTGGATATTCGTAATATACAGGGTGTAACAAAAATATTGTCCGACCGGAAATGCGGCACTCGGGGGGTGAATTGGAACAAGTTTTTCCGTAGCAACAATGTAATCTGAGGCTTCGTTACCGAGATATTAACGAAAAACCCCGACAAATCAGAGCGCGAGTTTGCCAGCCGAGTTCCCGTGCTATCGGTGGCTACGCGCTGCGATTTGTAGTAGTTGCAGTATTATAAGAAGTTTGTGGTTGTAACAACGTTTCTGATGCCTTTAAGACGATATTTAAATGTTGGCAAACTTTGGTTGGGCCAATGTTGTATTATCGTTGTAAATTTCATGATAATGAACCACCTGTAATAATTGTTGGCCCAACGTTGGATATTCGTTGGCAAATTGTCATAACTTTTCGTAATAGGCCCTATGTTGGGAATTTGTAAGCAAAAACATTAACCATATCTCAACTAATTCCCAGTTGTTGGCCACCGTTGGCCAACCATAAATGCTACAAGGATTAGTTCAATAGTCATGATTTATTGAAAAAAGGTTGACCCTAAATTTCAAAGAGCTGTAAAATCTACAATTTTTTAAATTTTCAAAAATCCTACCAGATACGTTTATATATTGATAAAGACTACAAACATATCCAAATTGAAACAAAATCTGAAATGGTGCTCCAAAAGGTGTCCGATTTCGCGTGGAATGATCCAGCTAAAAGTCACTGTCAATTAAATGTAAAAATAACAGAAAACTATGTTAGCAAAACCACAACATGTGAAAATATTTTCAGTTGTCTGAACAAAACGGACGATTATAAAAGTTGCTGAAAGATTGTTTTTGTAACATCTGGGACTAATTAAATATTTTCTCCATTCACAGCTTACTTTTCTACTACTATATTTTGAAGATAAATAGAGATATGCATTTTCATACTATCTTACTTAATTAAAAATTATAATTTCATTCTATTTCCTTCAATATTAGGAAAACAGTTTTTAAATGTAACATATTGATAATATGTATAACAAACGTTTAATTTATTTCACCAAACATTTTTTGACGTGGGTAGTACTACCTAATACAATAATAAATATTAGACCAAAAATTTTAATCGGATCTAACGTAATGTATGTTACACTGGTTTGTGTGTGTGTTATTTGATTAGATTGTAAATTAGAAAAGTTTTAGGATTAGTATAGAATTTACAGTTTTAGTATTAGGTCTAATAATAACATTATGTTTTGCGTTTGATGCAATAAAGACGATATATTTGTTATTTGTATTTTATCGTTTATATTAATTTCATTACTTTTTCAGATGAATACAAATATTAATGACTTTTAAGAAAAGAATTGCAAATATGTGCAACTATTTAAATATGAAGAGACAAGAACTAAATGCATATTATTAGAAGAGGACTACTTCGAAGAAAATTGATAACTAAACTGCGAATTTCTGTGCAAAATGACAATGATTGCTGAAGTGTTTCATAAGGACAAGAACAAACACAGGAAGTTCTTCCTTCTCTTAAGTATCTTATTGAGTTTGTAACAAAATAAAGCCTTCTCTTTTATTCTATTTCACGGAGCCCTATAGGCTGTAAACGCTAAAATCCGCAATCTATTGATAACATTTACTTGAAATCTACTAAAAGCTTTATTCGAAGCCAAAACTCCCAGTAGCATTTTATCGGGCCTCGCAAATCCGCGACAACGTAGTTACGTAATCTTTTCATAATAGTTCATAGTTATCGTTTTGTAAAGTAGAATTTATCGTCAGTGTTACAACGTACTGTTTAGTTGACTTTACACCCCAGTTACTCTGGATAACCGTTACTGTACTTCTTTGAAAGACGACGATTAATCAAACGAAATCCTTGAACTACGAAAGCAAACTTGAAGATACTAAACACTTTACATTTATACTCTCAATATTCTATATCCAAATTTAAATATTCCATATTCCTCTTCATTTAATTACGATTACCTCAATTTTTCAACCACGATAAATTTCTGAGTGCAGACAACAATTCTTGTTTTAATGCATTTTTCAGATAAACAAGTCAGAGAATAGATTTAAAATCATTAAAAAAAAGTAATCTATAAATGGAAGTATTACTTTAACCGTTTCAGTACTGCAGCTCGTTGTAGAAGTACCTCTCGAAAAATTCCAACCGAGCGCGACGTGTCGCTGTTATAACACTCAACGGTCACTCGCAGTTCTATCAGTTTGTGAAAATACTTGCATTCGGCAGTTATTAACTATCATTCAACTATACACTCAGCTTGTTACACTAACGATACACTGAGGTAGCGTCAAAGGGTGCCGTTAACTGAACGTATTCGGTCGATACACGGACATATTTCGACAACGAACGACACCAGCGCGATACTCTCGTTGCGCTTAAATGATTAAAATTGTCGACGTTAAATCTACCAAAAATCAATACAGAAAAGCAACCACAAAAATACACGCACGAACAAAAATGTTCTGACACTCGTAATTTTGCAGTTTAAAATCAAATACACTAAAACTTACTATTTGGAACAATCCATTTGATGGTTAATTGTTTCTTCCGAAGAATTCAGAATACGTTACTTGGTAATGAATAATAAGTGTCTTGCGGATTGATTTTCCGAAACTGAACGCAAAAAAAAAATGATTTATCCTGTTTAGCGTTCTGTCGCGATCAAAATAAAAAGCAAATCTGCATAAATTTTCTGAAACTCTTCACTACACTGAATTTTGATCTTCGTACACAGTATGAAACTTCTAATGAAACGAAAATATTAAGTTAGACATGACTCGGTCTGTATAGCAGAAACTGGACTTCTCTGTAACAAATTACTCGTTCGGAGTTCCGTGTAAAACTGGTTCGTTTCTGTTACAGGCAAGTGTAATGAGGATCACAGAAGGCGTGGTTAAAAATCGGTGTCACTATTTCGAATGGTATTGGTTGTACAGGGTATCCAAGAAAAACAGGAAAAAAGTAAAGAACATCCAATGAAGTGAGTGTAGAAACGAGCTGCCTGAGACTGTTGGTGGTAATAAATTATAAGTTGGTAGAGTGGTTTGAAGATACAGCATTGTGGTATGCAGATGTACTTTTTCTTCGCCGGTCGTCTATTATTTCCTGATTAATTTTTGTGCGGAAAATTACTCAATATGAGAAAATTCAGTTGTTCGACAGTCATTTACACATATTAATATTGCAAAATTTTTGATGATATGTGGACTAAAAAAGATAGAAGTACACTACCGTCCATAAGTCGTAGGACCCTAACATTAGTGCACGTAGAATAAGAACAAATTGATCGTCTTAAATAATGCAACTGAAATTTTTACTTTTTCTATTTACTTTCTATACGATACGTCGTCAACAATTCTAAATATTTTTGTATTGATATCCATGTTCGATTTAAATTTGACCAGTCGAATTGCACAAGCTACTTCCAGTACATATTCATAAAGTATCTATCATGTAATTCAACTCCAATTATATCTTAGTCTTCACCACAAATCTTTTTCACATTTTTCCATAGGTATTAAATTTCTAACTAATGTAGCAACTTCTCACTTATTACAATATATACTGGATGACCGTTGAAAAGTGTTGCATAATTCCGACCTAATTATTAATTTCTAATTTTCATTGAACGATTCTGTGATGTGTTTAATGTGTTTTATCGTGTATTTTTTGAGAAAAACAGATCAATGGAATAGAATTGCTTCCTGAACCAGTACACCTATGACGATTTATACAATATATCTCTAGAATAATCAAGTGTACAGTGATTTCCAGATGACAGTGGAACGTGGTATCCACGGTCAATTAAACATGTAATTCTAATCAGAATAACACATCAGTATTCTTTTTAAATTACGGCGAACAGATTAAATGTTTTGTCAAGTAGAGTCTGTGAACATTTCAAGGGCTTCTTGAAGCATCAAGCGGTAGATAAAAACTTTGCACAACACGCGGCGTAAAACGGTGCAAAAGGTAGAATCGCAGCTTTTTCAAAAGACATTTCAACTCCTCGTTCCAATTATGCAGCCGACTTACCTCGGTAAAAGGCGAACTGAGCTCATGCCAGAACGACCTCGGCAGGTTTTCCAGTCCAGGAAACGGCTTAGCACCTGAAACAATTTAGGACCAGATTATACGTACATCTGCCTAAGCTTTATTACTCGGGTACAACCGTGTAATTAAACCTTGACCACGAATTTACTGGTAACTTTGCTACTACTAAAGAATGACACGCTTTATGTTCGCTTGAATTTTTATAAACATTAAGCAGAATAATAATGGAATGTTAGAGAGCATTACCTTCTTATTGTGATAACATTGGATAGGCATGCACAGTAATGCAAACTGTATTGATTCTTTCTTGAGTAATATTTTCGTTTTGGTAACTGAAGACAAATACCTTCTTTGTATTACTTAATCATTAGATCTCAATTTAACCAATGGTACTAGTTAATTTTTCCACCAGAACGTCACCCTAGCCTAAGTTACAATACGGATATATTCCACCATCCATCTAACCATAAACAAGATATCCTCTATTCGTCTGCCTAATAAATGACCTATACTACTGAACTCGTCGATATGAGACCACACTTTGCTAATTTGAACCAAAACAAGATATATTCTAATATTCCTCTAAATAAAACTATTTGTCCCATTAATAACAGACCATATATTAGTAATACATACAGTAAAATATAATCTTCGTAATGACATCATAGCATATCCTATTACTCGATTATCATCAACTTGTTTCACTGAGAATTGACCTATACTACAAGGTAAGCTTGTGAACAAGAGACTACATTTCGCTATTCTGAACTACACAACAAGGTACATACAATAATCCATCTGAATAAAACAAGTTGACTCTACTTGACTGATTAGTAACTGACCATATGTTCCTGGCTTCATCAATGAAAAACAATACTCTGTTATTTGGATTCATGATAAGCCACATTCTATTATTCGTCTCAGCAAAACATGTTCCCGCAACTTGAATTATTACTACCTGACCATGAGCTACTGGCATTATGAATACACAACTGGACTCTGTCATTTCGATTCATAATGAAGTAGATTGTATTATTCGTCGGAGCAAAACATATTCCCCCTATTTGACTTACTAATACCTGACCATGAGCTACTGACATTATGAATAAAGAATTTTACCCTGCCATTTTGATTCCATAGCAAACTACGTTCTATTATTAGTCTCGGCAAAACGGGTTCACTCTACTTGTCTTATTACAAACTGACCATATGCTGCTAATAAAACCAGTAAACCAGCATTCTACTCTGACCCCCAGCAATGAATATTGCACCATTCGTCTGACACAGGATCTGTTCCCTTTGTCGGACCAATCACCGACCTATATCACTTCATCGACTACTACCAAACCACATCCAAGACACCAACCCAATTGCAGATACCCCCTTCCAGCTAACAATTACACTTAATACAACCCAACGACTAACCTTCTCTCATTTTAATTTAAAAGACACAAGTACACAGTAATAATCACATTCACGAGCTTTCCACGGAATTAGCGTGCTCTAAAACCCGCGCCAAAACAACCGGCAAACGGAACGGCAAAAGTTTACCCCGACGCGACGTTCGTATCTAAAACGCCGTGCGACCCCAGCGGGTAACGGCGGAAATACATTCATGTGTATCGTCTTGGAAACTGCCGGGTAGGGTCGCGTGTGCTCGCCGCTGATAAGGCCATTCTATCCGTCGACAACCGAAGGAGAGTTTCTCTCGATCCAGCCCCCGGGAAAGTGAAAAACTTTTACGCGAGGATACACCGGGCGAACTACGACGAGAGACCGGTTCTCATAGTAATTCGATCTGGCGCGCGTCTATTGCGCTAACGACGCAACGGCGAGACGGTGTTTGCGCCACGTAGACTTCTTTCGGATCCGGAAACAGGACGACGTTCCGCGTCCCGGATCGAAACGGGGATAAGACAAAGCCCCGCGTTTCGCGATGCACCACGGCTTACAGTGGTGATTTATAGCGGAAATATCAGGAAACTTTTATTACGAACGCGGTCACTCAGTTAGTGTCTTGTATCGCGAACTGATTTTGGTTGCGAGTAAGGTAATCTGTTCGGTATTTGTTTCGATTCCACTGGGGATCTTGATCTTGGAAACAGTTTGGTAAGGAACTTCCATGTAATAGGATGAATGTACTAACCCCTTACAGAAAGTACTTAACACGTTCAGTGCGAAGTCTCTACTCTGTTGCGTGGACGCGGCATGACTTCCGAATAAATAAAGGCAATATTAATAAAACGGAAGAATTATTTATCTTAACACGTCTTTTCTATTCTACAGTCGTATCACGACTCTACTCTCTCTCTCTCTGCTTTGGCGTTGTTACCAAAACGACGTCGATAACCTGAAGTCTCTCGCTTTAACATTATACAATACGTGCTACCTATCGGGTAACACGTAACAATACATACGGGGTGTCCCACCTAGCGTAAGCACTTTAATATTTTCTTACAGTACATTATTTTAGAAATATTGTGTAAAAATTTGATGTTGATCCGGCCAAAATTGGCAGAGTTATGCCTGTTTAAAGTATTCGGCTTTGAAAGTTTTGGAGCAGATATAAAGTGGTAGAATCCCTTTCTAGGGGTCTGTGAGTCATATATACTGTGCCCCAATGCAATTTATGGTTGTGTTAGTAAATACACAAAGCTATATGAAGCCGTAATACTAAGAATAACTATATATAAAAAATTTGCATTGATTCGGTTGTAAACCTAACTTGAAACTTTAAACGTGTTTTTCTGAAAACCACATTTTCAAATCGGTGACCAGAATATCTCGAAAACCGCTGCACCGAACTGATTCATCTTTGGTGGACTCATTCTATACAAAAGAATCTAGTGCCTGGTCGTGACTTTTTGTATTTTATTGCGTAGTTTTTATTTTATAGATAAAAAATGAACGATTCTTTTGGCGAAAATCGATACTTCGATTTTGAACAGCCGCCATTTTGTCGATAATTAATTTTTCAGGATACTGAACGATCGGGCACTAGACAATTTAATACATTAACTAAATTTGCTCGGATTTTTCATTTTAGGTAAACGAACTCGAAGTTACAGTGGTCACCGCAAAACGCCTAAAATAAAAGCGCCGCCGGGAGATCGCTGATATTTCCCCTAAGTATTCATATTTTGCATTGAAGAAATTATTATAAGCACTTTAACATGTACACTTTCGAATACAATGACGTATGTTTAAACAAGTCTTCAAGTTTTTAAAAAATAATTTCCGAAAGTACATGTCATTTTTTGAACTCGCAGATAGGCATAACCACTTAAGGCAGCCGTCCATCTAAGAGTTCCTCGCGCGAATTTCACTCGAGAATACTGTCACGACATATAACAAACACACAGACAGTTGACATAGAGTTGAACGATCCACTCGCGAGAAGTACTCTCGAGAGCAACTCGCGACAGTCAATAATATTATATCCGACAGTAGCTCGCCGAGAACAAAACAATTTCGTAATCGCGCGAGAAACATAATGTCCGGCAAGAATAATGTCTGCGTTTCTATTTCCATTTTTGTTATAATATTATACGCAATAACAAGAGCAGGCAGTTTTTCCACGTCCATAATCACTATCTCACCTCACGCTTAGTTCAAACCAAACTGCAGAACAGACAGGCATGGATGAATCTCTAGTCACTACACACGAGAGTCTAGTGGATGCGATTCTGAGAGTTCTGTGAGACAGTAAATTCTCGGCGAGCGTTCTAGCGACTACCTGAGATTAAAAACTCTTATTTTCGAATGGATACCCCACGTGACAGTACTCTTCAGCGCAACTCGCGCGAGAAACTCTCAAATGGACGGCTGCCTTCAGTATCTCACTTGCTTTTGATTTGCAGAAATTTGATTTTAATAAATACTCAAAGTGATGTCCATCAACTTCGACACCTTTTTGCGCTAATCCATCTACCGTAATTACATATTCTATTATTTAAACCTACTCCCATACCTTTGTGAATTTTTCGTACTTAAGGTCACACGAAGGTCACACTATTGTAGGTCATTGGATTGGTCTTGATCTTAACTATTACATCACCCTGACAAAATATATAGTCCCACTTAAAAAAAAAAAAGACGAGCTTGAAATTTCGAAACATAATACCTTGAGAAAAATTGTTGCTTATAGAAAATTTTTCAGATTTCCTAGCACAAGAATCTACTGAACGTCATGAACGCCCTGAGGAAGAAGACAATCATGCTGATTGTGTGGGATGTGGGGAGCAGTAGAACAGTACATCGAAACGAGACGACTAGGTTTGATGTGTGAACTGTGGTTTTACGAAGGATGTTCAAACTGTTTGAACTTATGGAATGTATGTGGAAAAGTTTCATGCAAAAAAACAAATCATTTGACGTTCTATTAGGCTCTTAACGTGTATTTTTTACTTGGCCCATGAGAACCTGAACCATGGGTCATCCCACCTTTAAATGTATTATTATTTTTTGAATTTACTTCTATATTATACATCCACATGTATTTAGTTTCACAAATATACCTACCCTTTTTCTTTATACAAGGTGTAGCAAAAATATTGTCCGACCCGGAAATGGGGCACTCGGGGGGTGAATTGGAACAAGTTTTTCCTTAGCAACAATCTAATCTGAGGCTTCGTTACTGAGATATTAACGAATAACCCCGACGAATCAGAGCGCGAATTTGCCAGCCGAGTTCCCGCGCTAGCGGTGGCTACGCTCTGCAATTTGTAGCCAAATTTGTAGCCGATTTGTAGGTCAAGGTTTTTCGTTAATATCTCGGTAACGAAGCCTCAGATTAGATTGTTGTTAAGGAAAAACTTGTTCCAATTTACCCCCCGAGTGCCCCATTTCCGGGTCGGAGAACATTTTTGTTACACCCTGTATATCGATACTTACAATGCACTAATTTTTTTTTAAATCTGATCCATCACCCAACGACATCCCTGCTAATAATACAGGTAAGAAACATTTCTTGAAATTACCGATTGGACACGATGGGCCGTCTAAACGATCATCGAGTAACAACGTCCCGCCGCGGCTCCTCTGTCTCGCGTTTTCT